CGCTAGTGTTTTGGTGCTCGTCGCTGCTTACATAAGCACTGAGCATGCTGCGAACCGAGCGCCTTAAATTGTGCATGAAGGGTTACTGCACTATCAGTGTTTAACTGTTCGCTCCCACAGAAGTCGTAATCCGATACACTGCGGAAATCTGCAAGATTGGTTAGGAATTATCAGTCAGAAAGTATGCTTGATGTGTGATCCTAGAGCGGCAGTTGTAGAGAGATTGAAGTATTGCGAGTACGCGGCAGATCAGAGTGCGAACCTTTCCAGCACAGTGCCAAGATCGCTGTTATTACGCCCTCGGGCATTGGGCCCCTTGACAAAAGTTTTTCGAGAAGTTCAGTTCTAAGATATTTTCAAATCCACCTCTTAAGACGAATTCTTGAAATCAGAGTTATGTCGTCAATTCTTCAGCTTTCAGTTTTTTGAACAATTTTTCAAAATATTTTTTAGATTGATCCTTCTGTATTAGCTGAATTATTTTGAGTTATGCCTGTATAAGCTCGACTTTGAACTTATTTAAAGTTGGACGTATTTTCTGGACCAAATTTTATTCGCTTAAGCATGACTAATCGTAGAAATGTTCCTACAAGTCGAGTGCAGTTTGACTGAGCGACTGCAATTCTGATTGTGAAACGCAGGCCAACGGTAAACTCGGTGCGTACGTCCAAAAGTTTTATTGGTATCCAGTAGTAGAGATCATCAGAAATTTGATTGTATGTAGCCATCACTCGCCATGACATCTCCTATAAATTTCACAATTTTTAAATAAACTGGTCTGCATTTTCATCCACCAAAATCAGACCAACGATGTATACCCACGATGCTGCGTGTCCTGCGTCTCTTTTGCAAAGGATGTGCACGAGAAGGGAATTGAACTCCCCATTCTTACTTCCGGATCCTTCGTATTTTGACATGTCAACCATCACACTGTCAATTCGTGCTCAACAACCAAAGCTTGCCTATCTGTGGCACTTACGTACATACAATCTACATAATAGATGCTGTCACAACCAGCGTAGACTTTTTAATATTTTTATCGGCTCCTCACTTGAAGAGCAACATATGGATTATTTATTACGAGCCACTGCTCATCGTTCACTAAACGCGTAGGCCATTTCTTCTGAGGCCATGGTTCGCTTTTACGAGAGCACTGCTGATTGCTGTATGGCGTCCACCGATTGTCAGCAAAGAAAGCAGATTGTTCTCATAGATCGTAGCAAAAACGGCGCTTAGAAATGTATTATCATAACTCCCTCCGAGGTACGGCATGTAATGGCACGAATCGGCCTATATAAGGCA